CAGGAGGACTAAGAGGACTACCACTCCCCGCCACACAGAGGCCCTGCCAGTCCCAGGCCACAGCATTGCGTGTACACACCGCCCATCTCTTTCCTGCCCAATGGTCTCATGTCACAAAGCCTGCCTGCCCCAGCCCCACGAGACCCCGTGTACTGTACACATCGAAGGAAGAGCAAGCCAGCTGTCCTGCCCCACGTAGCTCTGTACATGAACACACCACGACAGCCCCCGTGACCCATGGCACTAGATGCTTCAGAGAGAGACAAAGCCCATTCACCCCACCCTATGTGACCCTGATGCCCTGGACACTCATAAGAACAAACCTGTCTAGTCCGGCTCATGTGACCACATACAGTGGACTCAACAGAGACAGACGCATGTGCCACAGCCCACATGACTGCATGCTCACGACACATGATGGACACATGGCCCAATGCATGCACAGAACACACCACAGTATCTACAGTGCAATATCTGACTCCTGGTTGGCAGTGGCTCACCACGCTGCCACCTGCTTTAACACTCCTCCTAATATCTCTAGGCTCCTGGAACATAAGTATCACCATGCTGCAGGTTACACTGTGCGGAACTCACACAGGCCAAAACACTGCAGGTGACGGTTAATCGGCAAGGTCAGTTTGACTGGACTAAATATTACCTAGGAGACACCCATCTGAGCACAACTGTGTTCCCATGGAGTTTGAAGACAACCTGAATGTAGGGGGCACTGTTCAGTGAACTGGGGTGAACGCAGAGAAAGCGAGCTGAGCCCCGCCCCCATGCCTCTCTCTGCTTCCTGACTGTAGGCACAATGTAACCAGTGGCCTCACGCTCCTGCCGCCATGCCTTCCCACCGCCATGCCTTCCCACCGTGATAACCTTGATACAGTTCGCAGGCAAAATGGGAGCCCGAACGAACCCATCTTCAAGTTGCTCCAGCAGGTACTTTGTTGTCATGACTACACTAGGGCTAAGCACCTCGGGGTGACCAGAGCAACACCCTCCCAGGATCCGCACCAGACCCCAGCAGCACTCAGACCCCAGGGGACAGAAAACTCTTAGTGATGGTGGTCCCAGATGGGCACACAGAGCATGGGCCACAGCAACAACCTGCCTGCCCGTGAGCGGGACCGATGAACGCAGACCCTCACACCTTGCATAACAAGATCCCTGACATGAGTGAGAAGCCCCTGTGGGAGAGCAGGAGGCCCAGGACAGGCTGCCCGGGGTGCTCACAGGCCTCCACAGGGAAGCTGATCACCAAGCGGGCACTGCCACCTAGCGGCAGCTGCACCTCAGAACCCCGGGCCACAGGTCAGACGCGCAGCAAAACACTCCAGGCATGTGGGCAGGAGTGCCTGCTTCAGAAAGCCTGGTCAGGGCTCCAGCTAAAGACAGTGGGTCCTTGAACCGGCACACAGTCATGTATGTGTGTGTGCTTGTGCTTACACGCTTGCGCGTGGGTGTAAGCTTGGGCATCCTGCACACATGTAGGAATATGTGAGCAGGCAAATGTGCAAGTTCTCGTGAGGAACCACAGCCCCAGCGCTGAACCCCGACTTTTCGCCCCTGTCCTGTATCAGGCCTAATCTCATCAATCAGTCACTCTCTCAGCCTTGCACAGAAAAGTTCTAACAGCTACCCAAAACCTGCCCACAAAGAAAGAGGAAGGAACACCTGGGGACTGAAGAAATGGCTCAGCTGTTAAGAACATTCACTGTTTTTCTTTCTTTCTTCTTTTAAGAAGACTCGGGTTCAATGTCTAGCCCCAAAGACAGGACACGACCACCTGTAAGCGCTTCTAGCCTCCACAGGCAGCCATCCACCACGATGCACACAAACTGAGTGGACAGATGAAGAAATGTTTTTAGCGGAAAACCCTCATGATACCAGAGAACCAAGCGCGTCAACTTTCCCCATGCTCCAATGTTTTAGTTTTTAGCTTCTCTTTCTCCCATCGCATGTGTGAGATGCGCGCGTCAGTGCTCACGCTATGGTGGTCAGAGGAGAGCTTTGCCCTGTGCCCACATTCCAGAGAGGTGCCTTAGATTGGTCTGGCTTACACAGTAAGCACTTCACCCACTGAGCCATCTCAGCCCCATCGCTTTCTGAGGACCATTTGCTAGGAAAGGAACCTAGGGCTTCAAACAGGGAAGGTGAGCAGGTGACACTAGTGCCCAAGGTGCCAGGCAGCCTCAGCAGCCCAGGGAAGTGCACGCTTGACAGTGATCAGAGGACCAAGGGGGCTGTGGACAGAGCCCAGTGCCCTCTGCTTTCCAGAACAGCTGTTCTGCAAGCATGAGATTGCACGCTGGATTGGCAAAAGCAAGTGAGCTTCCTGGAGGCAGCCTACTCGTTTCTGCATGGCTGACAAATGGGTGTATCCCTAAGGTTGGCAAGACCCAAGGGATTTTGCCTCAAGACGGCTTATTGTTGCTGTCCTGCCTTCTGATGCTTGTCTCATATGCCTGGCACAACGCAGCCGCGCACAAATAGATCCTCACTGCCTATTGAGTAATATCATTCCTCCATGGGTGCTGCTCCCTGTTGGGCAGATTCTCTACAGATGATTTTATAACTCCTGATAGTGACTCCTGGATTGACTCAAGTAATTTTAAAGCCTCCTGAAGAAGAGTAAAAACTGTTAGGAGCTCTGTGAACCTCCATGTGACTCACACCAAGAAGAAAAACAGGACTGAAACAAATTAATAATCAAGGAAACACATTCATTTTAGGTTCAGTCCAAGGATACTATGATAAGAAAGACTATATGAATACGGAAACAAAGAGTAAATGGTTATCTATACAAGACAAGACAGACACCTGTTTCTCAGAAAAACCCTGACATAAAAACTATTCTTTGAGCACATAATTTACATAAGAAATAAGAAAAAGATAAAACTTCTCCTTTGAACTCATGATGAGCATACAGATAAAACCAGTACTTTAAAATTATAAGGAGCAAAAGTATCTAGATATAGCTCTAATGAAAGAACTTACAAGTAATAGTAACTCCCTTTCTGTATAATGATTGTGTCTATTATTCAAAGAGGTAATTTTTCTTACATAGAAAACCTTTGTCTTAGAGGGTATAAAACCCAGGACAGTAAGAAAAGTGTTGTTGGTTGGCTGGAGATTTCCTCCATTCAGCATCCACCAATTATATCTGCCTATCTGATTGTCTATGTCTTTATGTATATTCATGAATGATCTGTGGGAACTCCCTAGAAGTGTTAATGGATGGTCTTCTCTTCTCACTGCAAGCAGCAGGCCCAAAGAACAAGACTACCAGCCTGAAAGGTTAGGAGTTAAAGTGCAGCACCCAGAGCCATCAGCCTGACAGTTAGGAGTTAAGAAAGTTCAGAGAGTCTAACAAACCAGCGGCCCCAAGGCCCCAAATGGCCAGGAAGAATTAAAGTGCAGAGAGAAATGCTAGAAGCCACAGCACCTAGGCCTCATAGGCCTAGAGCAAAAGCCTTGGGACCTCTTTCTCGCCGGTGCTGCTGTCCCGCCTCAGCCACCGGGACCCTGGGGAGGTAAGAGCTCGCTGTTGACACTGCTCACCAGGTGAGATGCTCTTAAGGACAGGACCCTGCTGGACGTCACAGGCTCAAGTGGCAAGAGCCCCGCGCCCCTCCTCAGTTAAGAGAAGATGGATCCAAGGCAGTGCAGCTCCTGAGAAGGGTCCCCCACCTTCCTCCATGAGAACACGGGGCACCCTAAGACCTACGCCTTCCTCTCGCTTGGCACAGGCAGCCGACAGCACCCGAGGAGACGCTGTCCTCACACCCGCTGAGCTCTTTCCAGGGTGCTCAACTGGGGAAACAGGCTATGGGGCTCCCTGAGAATCTAGACCCTGCAACATGGCCACTCTGACCCGGGCCACTCCAGCCAGGGCAATGGCTCCACAGGCCTGACTGGCGCTAAGTGCCATGTGGCAGGCACCGGACACGCAGGCACACCATCATGCCAGTGTTCCAACAGGGCTGGTCCAACTGGGCATGAGCGGCCTCTGATCTCTGTCACAAGAAAGAAGTCACGGAGGTGTCTTGTTTGGGCAGAGCAGCCCCAGGAGTAGGAGGGACGCTTGCCAGCAGCTAACAAGCCTGGAGGACAGGAGGAAGCACGTAGTACTGGGCCTGCTGGGCCAGCCTCTGAAAGAAGGGTTCTGCAGATGGGCTGCAGGGGAAATACAGAAGTGCTGTCAAGTGACAGAACGGAAGGCAGTGCTGCCATCGGAAGGTGATGACTCCAGAGCCAGCAGGGGACAATGTGATTACAAGACAGCTGAGCACAGGCAGGCTCCATCTGGCCTCATTTCTCAGAGTAGAGAGAAAGGCAGCCAGCAAGCCGGAAGTATGAAAAACAAAGGGCTGCTTAAATCCCACAGACTACGCCCATGCTCCAACGGTGACAGTACCCCAACTTCCCTGAGACCTGAAACGGACAGAGCCACCATGAAGAGTGACATCCAGGCCAAGACTCAGGGGCTCACAGCTGTTGATGGCAGCTGACAAGCAGCACAAAACTGAGCCACAAATGGGTCAGATCTTTAGAATGGCACCCCAAACAGAGTAGTGTACAGATGGGAGGTGTTTTGTGTCTCTCCACCCGTACCTAACACAGGCCAGTCACATGGGATACTCTGAGGGCCCCAGCGCAATATGAATCTTCCAGTATGATTGGGTTTTAACTCAGTTCTTCCCCAAAGTTTATCATCACTTAGAAAAAATGATTCCCCCAAGCAGTTCCTTCCTTATACACAGGGTCCTGCGAGCACATAGGCCCACGGGTCTGCCCTGGGGATGTGTAGATTCTCTACAGTCTTTACAATGAGTCTCAACCTCCCTCCCATGCTAAGCACTAAGCCTAGACAAGCACTCCTCCCCACAGCACACAAAGGAAGGCACCTGCCTGTCTGCTGAGGACTCTGAGCTGGGAGGCAGAGGACAGCACTGGAAGCTAGTGGCCAGGGGTGGAGAAGGCAGCAGCATACCCACCTGAGATTTAAGCCCATGGTCTGGTCCAGTTTCTCCCAGCTCTGCAGCTTTGCAAGCAGCTTCTAGAAAGACAATTACAGCCATCAACGTCTCTTCTCCAGCAACTGTCATGTGAAAGCAAACAGTGACAAAGGTACTGCCCACCCCCCTCGCTTCCTTTCTGGGATCAGAGGCAGTTAGGTGACTCTAGCAGATGAAGGTAGATGATTTGCCTAGGCCTTGCTCCTTCCTGCCCCACGGTGCAAGTCTAGGCAAAGTCCTAGCATTGTAAGAGCGCTACAGGCCTGCAGGAGTCGTGTGCAAACCGGGTCCTTGCCCCCAAGGACTGATCTCTCTCTGCCTTCCAGGAGCTTCACTCAGAATGTTAAGCCCTAGGCAGATGAACTCCACTACAGAGCCAAGTTTCTCCCAATTCTCTGGTAGGCCAGAACAAAGAATAACTTAGATGGGCCTACCTAGCCACAGCGGGGAGACAGGGCCAACGACGCCTGTGTGCCTGTTCCACACCAGCTTAGACCCCACAAAACAGTCTCTCTCCCTATCCCTTGGAGCTGAAATGGCCATGAGCTGCAGATCAGCCACATCTGTGGGGCCCGTCACAACAGCTGTTATCAGGGTTCACTCAAAACTCCGGGCCACAGCCATAGTCCATGGCTTTAATCCCAGCATTCTGGAGACAAAGGCAAACAGATCTCTGAGTCTCCGAGTGTTCAAGGCCATCCTGGTTCACACAGCAAGTTCCAGGCCAGCCAGGAATATAGAGTGAGACACTAACTCAAAATAAAATGTGCCCAGGACTGGCCATATACCAAGATGGCAAGATGGTGAAGGAGCTCACTACCATACCTGGTCACTTGATTTTGATCCCCAGAATGCACACTGGTAGGAGAAAACATACTCTCACAAGTTGCCCTGGAAGCCTACACACACACACATTCACTCTTTTTACATGCATGCATACGCACACACACACACCATGGCACATGCACTCATTCACTCTTTTCACATACATGCATACGCACGCACATTCGCTTTCTCACATACATACGTATACACACACAAGCACACCCACACATATATACGCAATGTGTCATATGCACTCACTCGCTCTTTCTCGCATACATACATACACAAAAGCATACACACATACGTTGTGGCATTTGCACTCACTCCTTCTCGTACACACACACACACACACAAACATAAACAAATAAAAAGCATGGGGTGGGGGGCGGCTCGAGCTCAGCTACTTTCCTGCAGCCAGGGTTTCGGGACACTGTTCCACGCCAGGCCCTGGCTGCTGTGTACAGGACGGATGGGGCATGGACTGACCCAGGGTCAAAGCAAGAACACTTCCATGCAAGACCTCAAGCCCAGCAGTGTGGACCTACACCCTGACCTCAACAACTGTCAATAACAAAGCAAACTGCAGACGTTACATGGAGGTTAAAAAGTGACACTGGTAAATGTCATGTGTTGTCTGTATTTGTTGAAAGTGGGCTTAAGGACCAAGGTGGCCTTCCTTGTCTCAGCCTCCAACCAGTTTATTTCAAGTTCTGGGACAGGCTGGACCCCTGGTCCTGCAATAGGGAGCAAAGAGAACTACAAGCTGCTATGACAGTTAAAAAAAAAAACAAAAAAAAAAACAAAAAACAAAAAACCTTGGCACCTGGCCTTTTAACCCCAGCACTCAGGAAGGAGAGGCAGGCAGCTCTCTGAGTTCCAGGCTGGCCTGGTTTACCGAGCAGGACATCCAGGGCAGCCAGGGCTACACGGAGAAACTCTGTCTTGAATAAAAAACACTTGGCCCTTGAGAACAGCTACAAAAGGAACCATCCAAAAAAGGTTATTCATTATTGCTTATTCATGATATAAAAGTGCCTGTGGTGGGAAGCCGGAAGCCTCACTCACGGAGAGGACATTCTGCCCAAAACTGTCCACTGGGAACCCCAGCAGGACTTCCAAGTCATCTCTGTGGGATGCTACAGCACCCAATTAGGTGCTTTGTACTGTCTGCAGCTTCTTTCTATCTGCTACTTGCTGCGTTTTTCTTTTACTTTTGCTTGCTCTATACTTAATAAACCTACTCATTCAAGACCAAAAGAATGGCTCTCTGGACAGAATGCCAGAGCAAAGGACAAAAAGAGTTCCAGGCCTTTTTGCCTGCAAAAGCAAGCCTCCGAGAGAGACCTGTCTGGGGCAGGACAAATGGACAGCCGCTGCAGCGCTGGCTACCCACAGAGAACTCAGTAGTGCCAACAGACCCTCAGCCACCTCGGGCTTCTAGAAGTCAGAGATGGAGCTGGGAGATGGCTCAGCCAAGCAAACAACTTACCACAGAAGCATGAAACCCGAGTTCACTCTCCAGCCTCACTTAACAAAAACTGGACACAGGAACACACACCTAAAATCCAATGCTGAGAGAGAACAGACAGAGAGCCCTGGAGCCCATGGGGCACCTAGTCGAAGCTGAATTAGCTAGCACCAGGCTCAGTGAAAGACTGTCTCACAACCAAAAGGAGAGGGCAGAGGGCTCTGAGGCTTTCAAACTATGTAGGGAAATCATCACTGCTATTGGTTGCCCACCAGAATTACATGCTGAAACATGGTTCGTAAAGACAGCACACACTGTGGAGGACAGAGAAATCGAACTAGACCTGAGCTAGAAGCTTCCTCCTTACTAGCAGGCTATTCCCAGGGTGCTGAAGTTGCATGCAGGCCTAGGGAAGAATTGTCATCAACAGTTTGCCCAGCTTTAGCGTCCGTGTGCACAGTAACGAGCAGCCAAGCAAAATGAGCCTGCACGTGCAGTGATGGCAAGTGCGTCACTGGGGCAACCAACTGCCCTCTGGTTGACGCTTGCTCCAGAACAGGGAACCCCATCTGGTTCTGTAAAAACCAGTCAAAAGCTCATGGGTGGGGTGTCACAGACCCTAGCACAAAAACAACTATTGCTCTGTGTAATGCATCTCTCAAGGTGCCTTCTAGATAGCTATAGTTATGCCCACAGAATATACGCTGTCAGCTTTAATCCGAGAACCTTTTGTGAGCGATGGTCAGCAGTGACTGCAGTCTCGTAACTGATTGCACGACCCACTAAATCACCTCGGCAGCCCTAAGCTGACCAGCTACTACATATGACTGAGATACCCAGGGTGCTCCGAACGGATGGAAGACAGCCCTGGAGACATGAGTCAGCCACTGCTCACCTCCTTCTCCAGCTCCAGGTCAACCAGAGCTTCCTGCATCTTCTCCTGGCGGCCCAGCTTCCTTTGCAGACTTTCCAGCTCCTCTGTGAGCAGCCCGTTGGTCTCCTTCATCTCCCTACAGGGCCAGAACAGTCACGCCAACAGCCACACATGTTGAGGACGAGCCCAAGGGACCTCAAGCCCAGGCAGCCAACTCCCAAGCAGGGGCAGCGGGCTGAGCACCAGCCCTCACCTCAGATGAGCATTCTCCTCGCGCAGCCTCTTTAGCTCATGCTCCATCCTAGGCAGCCGCAGAAGCTCAGACTTCATGCTCTTCACCACAGCCGCGTCCTGCTCCTGCAGGCACAGCTTCTGCTCCAGGTCCTGTGAGAGGCAAAGAGGAGCAAAGAGAGTGAGCAGCCTGGAGGCACAGCAAACATAGGCTGTGTACAACAGAGAGGCTGGCCTGAAGGACACACAGGCCTCCAGCTCCAGAATGATGTGGAGAAGGCAGAGGGCAGACACTGAGATCATGATGGTCAGTTTAAGAGATGAGCACACAGAAAACAGATGTGCTAGGAGCTAGGGACTGAACCCAGTCAGCCTCTTGCATCAAGAAGCATGAAGCCCTAAATCCCCTCAACACACATGTGCGCGCACACGCGCGCGCACACACACACACACACACACTTTATTTTAAAAGACAGGTGTGTCTTTATTCCCAGCACTTGGGTAGTAGAGGCAGACTATCTCTGTGAGTTCAAGGACAGCCTGGACTACACAGTGAGTTCCAAGACAGCCAGAACTATAAAGAAAAGACCTGCCTCAATAAAGAAATGAATGGATGGATAAACAAATAAATAAATATTTAAGTATTTAAATTAAAGAAAGGCTAGAACAGTGGTGCACATTTTTAATCCTAGGCAGAGGGAGGCCAATGGACAGTCTCAGTCCAATGAGACGCCCTGTCCAGAAAAAAATAAAAAAAAGTGGACAACATCCCAAGGAACAACACTGTCCTCCAGCAGCCATGTCAGACTCACAACTCTCTGTAACCCCAGGCCCAGGGCCTATGCCATCGCTGGCCTCTAGGTGACACCTTCATGCACGTACACATGCTCACAGACATAGATACATATACACCGAACTTTTAATAAGAAGAATCTCTCTCTCTCTCTCATTCTCTCATCAATGCCATGGAAGCCACAGAGGGCTTCCGGTGTTCCCAGGACCTCACTGGCCTCTGTGGCCCAGGCTATTTAGGAAGCCTTCTGGACTAATACACTGTGTGCTCAGATGCAGTCTGGTCAGCATCTAGAGCAGTCCTGCAGCACCCAAGAGAGCGCACACAGCACTGTCCTTCCTGCCTGCTCCCGGGCACACGCCATCCCGCCCTCTGGCCACCTGCAGTCAGCTTCAGCAGTAAGAGCAGTGGAACTGCAACGGTGTGTCTGCTCCCACTGTGTGACAGTCCCTGCACTGGATCTGTCACCCTGGGCCTCAACAAGGTGACACTGGCATCTAGAGCCAAGTCACAGAACACCAGGACCAAATCAACTGATCAGCGAAACTTCATGGAACCCAGCTCCTTCCAGGTAGAGCTAAGCAGTGGGAGCAGAGTGACAGACAGGACCAAATGGTCAACCCCGGTGCCCAAAGAAATAACAAGAGGTAAGCTAAGAGCTAGAGAGGGAAGGACAAGAACCAGAAAGAAGATGACTAAGAAGGCAGGGGCTGAGGCCTAGAGAAATGGCTCAGCAATTAAGAGCACTTGCTGCACTTCCAGAGGACTCAAATCCAGTTCCCAGCACCCAGTCAGGCAACTCACAACTGCCCTTAACTCCAACTCCAGGCCTCCGTGGCCTCTGCAGACACCCACAGCCAAACGTACACATAAATAAAAAAAAAAATCTTTAAGCAAATAAATAAAAAAAAAAAAAAGAAAAAGAAAAAGAATGAGGTAAACCAGTAGCCAGAAGCACAAGGAGCAAAGTCCACAGCCTTGTAACTCTCTCTCTTTCTGTCACAGACACACACACACAGCAGCGAGACAACTGACCAGGCCTCCTTCCTAGAACTGCTATCACCCTAAAGGCAACAGGAAGCCATGGCTCAAGGCATCACTTGTCCAGTGACACCCACTGGAGTAAAGGAGCTTGAACTTATATCCGACAGCTCTGACTTGGTGACCTAGCTCAGCCATGCTTTGGCCATGCAAATGTGAACAGGATTTCCACCTTTTTAAACCTGCTCCTTATAGTCCAAGCTGCTCTCAAACAAGCCATACACCCATCTCAGCCTCCCACAGGCTGGGATCACAGGTGTATCCCACGCCCACTTCTCAAAGCCTACACTGCACAGTCCTCTGTGTTAGCTTTTCCCCTCGGGGTTCTAGTGGGTTCATTGGGCTGCAGTTTCCCTGGGCACTCAAGAGGCCTCCCTAGCGGCCAGCACACAGGGCCTGGCAGCCACAGGCTCATCAGCCTGCATCCTCACATCCTCACTGAGCACACCTCCATTCGGGAGGGCCTGTGAGTGACAAGAGGGCTGACCCTACCCATTTAGTGCAGGAAGCTGCACCAGCTGACAGGAAGCATCTACCTTAATCTTCTGGTCTTGGTCAGCTCTCTCTTCTTGACTGGCCTGCAGCTCCTGGATCTTCTGATTTGCCTCCTGCCATTTCCTGTGAGAGAAAGGTATAGTCTATGCAAGGGCAGTCCATAATGCCCCTCAGCCTTAGCTCCCAGGATAGAGACACACATAGACATACACACACACCACCCTTACAGGGAGACCCCAAGTCCTGGAACAGCCTCTGCACGTTCCTCAAGCAATGCCTGCCTAGGGTACGGGCCAGAGCTTGAGGGCAATGTCCAAAACCTCCTGACCCACTAGCCAGCACTTATCTGTGTCCTCTGTGACCGAATGGCTCGTCCAGGTACAGCAGCCCATGCCCTCAAAACCTAGCTTAGCTTGGCCTTCCTCTGGAAGCCAGCTCCAAGAAGGTACAGCACCCAGGAAGGAGAGAACTATTGTCAGCCCCTTACTCAGGTGCTCGCTCCCCAAGTCTCACTTGTACCCCCAGTGCGGTCTAGGGATAGGGTTGTAACCCCTGTGCAGTCTGCGGACAGTGCTGTCTCAGGGACTGGCACAGCCGGCCATGCTCTCACCGTTGCTGCAGGTCCAGCTGCTCCTTCAGCTCCTGCTTCTCAGACTCCAGGCGCTTCACCTGGACCTTCTGGTCCATCGCACTCAACTGCAGCTCGGAGACACGCCCCTTCAAGGAATTAATGGTCTGGAAGTGAAGAAAACTGGCTGCTCATGGGGTCCTGTCTACATGCAGACTAAGTACCCAAGCATGGCTTTCACACAGAGACCAAGGAGAAAGGAAGGGCAGGGCGCTGCCCACACGCTCCCCAGGGCAGAGCAGAACCGCTCTCCTGGGAGCATGGGTGGGAAGACCACACTCTCTCAAAAGAGCATCCTGGCTCAAGGCCGGCCTTGTGCTCCTCACCATTGACACCGATGCGGGTCATAGCCTCTAGGGATGCTGGTCCTAGACACGTCTGACCATGTGAAATTCATTAACCTCCATACAGGGCACCACACCCAGCTCGTGGACAGTGTCCACCTCAGCTTTCTCCAGACCTCCATCACACTCTCAGCCTCCCTAACGCCTCCATGCCAACATTCCAACAAAATGTAACCCAAGACGAAAGACAGCAAAGGCCTGGCCAAGATGCAGTCTGGCATCAGAACTTCGTTTCAGATCTTGGCTGGTGGTACAGGGCCTGGAATGCCAGCTACTTGTTAAAAGTTTAAGCCCCATAAGAGCTACTGAGTACATTCAAAGCCAATGTGGGCAGCTTAATGAGAACCTATCTCAAAAGTTTAAAAAAAAAAAAAAGGTAAAGCACAGTAGCACAGGGCTGGAGAGATGGCTCAGCAGTTAAAAGCACTGTCTGCTCTTCCAAAGGTCCTAAGTTCAGTTCCCAGCACCCACATGGTGGCTCATAACTATCTATAATGAGATCTAGTGTCCTCTTCTTGTGTAGTATAAGCATATTAGCAGGCAGAACACTGTATACATAATAAATAAATCTTTTTTTTAAAATTTAAAAAATAAAACCACAATGGCACACATCTTTAATCCTAGCACTTAGGCAAAGACAGGCAAACTCTATGAGTCCAAAGCCAGCCAGTGCTATACAGTAAGACCATGTCTTAAAAAAAAATTAAAGTTGGGAGTAGAGATACAGCCCAGTGATTAATAACACATACTACTCTTCCAGAGGCCAGAGTTCAGTTCCCAGCACCTACACCAGGTGACAACTACCTATTACACCAGCTCAGGGGATCCAACGCCTCTGGTCTCCAGGGGTGCCCACACTCACATGCACATACTCACATGCAGAACACACACACACTCACCCAATACACACATAAATAATTTTTTAAATACCTAAATGTAGCAGTTTTAGGTGACCTGACGTCTCAGAGTAGATAAGGCCAGCAACTTTAAGTAACTAAAAATATTTTTTTAAATAACAAAAAAAAGAAAGTCAGGTTCAGCGATGCATGTCTGTAATCTCAGCACTTGGGAGGCAGAAGCAGATGGATATTTGAGAGTTCAAGGCCAGCCTGGTCTGCAAGTGAGTCCAGGACAGCCAGGGCTAAACAAAGAAATTTGTCTTGAAAAAAAACAAAAACAAATACATACATACATATATATATATATATATATATCTTCAAAGAGAGAGACCAAGAGAGGATAGAGGATGTAGTAAAATGGTAGAATAACTAACTACAATCTCCTATTGGCCAGTATAGGGGAATTGGCTCAGTGGTAGAGCTCCTGCCTAGAATCCCCCAGTGAGGGGCTGGGGTGTGGCTCAGTGGTAGAGCCCCTGCCTAGAATCCC